GTTTGTTCTTGTCCAAATGCCACAGTGCTTGTCAAAGCCAGTTCTGATTAATCTTCTTTGTCAGTGTGTCCTTTGCCATTCCCTATCACTCCTCCCTGAGAGAGACTTCATCCTGAGTCATAAGGAAAAGGGGATGGCGTATTCTCTTAGCTACTTCCTGCTGAAAAGGGACGCTGTGGGTTTCAGGGTGAAGATCTTCTCTCACTACTAAAAGAAAACCTCTTGTTTCCCTTTTTTTCTTTGTTTTTTGATTTTTTTTTCTGGGTGAGGAAAAACAATTATTCTTTTCCCTTTTTGTTTATTCCTAGGGTAGTAAAAATTTGTAAGATGTGCTTCTTAAAATTTGAATTGGGGTTAAAATAGTCATTGAATCGTCCATGAACAGATTTCCATTAGTGGGTGCCAACAAATGGTTTTTCTGAAGACATATAAAAAATAGACTGTTAGTTTCAAATAAATTGGAGCTCCACAGGGAAATAAATTCTTTGATATTTGTTTAGTATTCAGGTTATGTTTTATATTTTTTGTGTTACTACATAAGATACAAGGAAACATTTGCTACTCCAATTAATAATGGTTAATACTATATTTTTTTCATAGGCCTTACCAAAAAAAAGGGGGAAGAGGAAAGTTAATGGATAATTTCACTTGCTTCATTAACTTTATTTATTAACTTTATTTCCAAAATAGTGGCTGGCTGGATCAATCATCCATTCTGTCTCACTTCCTTGTGGCTTACTCCACCCAGACACACACTCAAAAACACATATCTCTTTCCTAAGCAGGCTATAGCTTAGAGAATCAGCTTCTACTGCTTTCTGAGGAAGATGGTCCTTATACTTTAAGAGGTTCCATGAAAGAAAGCACCTATGCCCTTAAGTCAAGTGCTCCTGCAGTCCTGCCTTTCACAAGCGAACAGCAACCTGATGACAGCCTTCCACACTTTCTCTCCTTCTCCATGATTAGCTCTCATGTGGCCAGTAATCTATCAGTAATCTTTCATCACATTGGATCTTGGATGGCAATCAGAGATTGCTGGAGACTGTGCTCCAAGACCCAAAGAACCTAGCTTCCACCTCTGCCCACATGGCTCTTTGAGTAGGCACTTGAACTAGATTTGGACACACAGGATTTATTTTGGGATGTTGAGTTAGTCATATGTTTGCTCTTGGGCTCAGGAACAGGTCTGTTAGGAAAAACCCTGTTCCCTGGTATGACCTGTTTATTCATTAGTCTTGACAATAAATTACTCCTACATTGTGGAAAATATTTTACCTTAGGTTATTTTAAAGCGATATATTTTATATACATTAATTACCTTCAGTGGTATGTTCACCACCTACCAGGACTCATAACTTCTAAGGCCACCATGCACAGTTTTATATAACCCAGCACTAACTGATTCAAACATACTTTAAAATCTGAGATATAGGGGGGGAAATGTACCGTGTCTGCAGTTTGATGAGTTTGTAAGATACATATTAGACATTATAAGAGCAACCCAGGACCAGTTCCTGTGGAGTATGTTCCTACTCCGCAGTTGAGTCCATAGGGAGTCTCACTAATACAAAGGCCCAGCTCTCTCTGATGATTCAGATCTACCAGCAGCTCTGTGGGAGATGGTTGGGCAATCTCCTCTCCTGCAATTGAAAGCTTCTGAAAGCCAGCAGAGGGTCAGCTATGAGTCACTTTCCACTTGATGGCAGTGAGTTTTTATAGGGATTTCAAGGACCTGTGTGAAGCAGGTCCACTTCTGGATGGTTTTGAACTGCTAACCTTTCAGTTAGTCATTGAGCACTTAACTGTGGCATAATGGGGGGGAAGGGGAAGGGGGAGAAGCAGTTGTTTCTAATTGGAATGAATAATTCCTTTTAAAAGGATTAGCACAAAACTGGTTGCTATGAGACAGAGGTTAGGAATGTCCCAAATGCCCAACATTTCCAAACTCTCTGTTGTACCACTCCATCATCTCTAACATCAACTGTTCCTGCTCCCTTCAACCTTCTTGCTCCCATCTATGTTCCCTAACTGAATTAGGGCACTCTTGATAGTGTAGTCCATAGGTAATTGCACAGCTAACCCAAAGGTTGCTTCTTGGTACCAACAGCCAGGAAATTAAAAGATTAATTGCACTGGGAAAATCTGCAGTCAGAGACCTCTCCAAAGTACTGATGAGCACTGATATCAGTCTGGAGACTAAGGTGCGTCTGATTCAGGCCACATGGTCTTTGCAATTATTTTCTATGCTCCAGAAATCTGGACAATGACTAGGGATGATAGAAGGAGAATTTATGCCTTTGAGCTGTGGTGCTGGAAAAGAGTATTGACTCTACCATGGATTACTAGGAAAACAAACAGGTTCATCCTTGAGAGGGTGAAACGAGGCTATTCCTTGGAGGCAAGGAAATGAGGCTTTGTCTGACATACTTTGGACATGTTGCAAGAAGGGACCAGTCCTTGAAGAGGGGCGTCATGCTTGGGAAGGTGGGGGGACAGCACAAGAGAGAAAGACCCTCTATGAGGTGGATTGATTCAGTCTCACTGGAGTAATGGGATAGTTGTGTCAGAGACAGTGAGATTGGCACAGGATAGAGCAAGGCTTAAGGCTATGGTACATAGGGTCACTATGAGTCACAAGGGACTCAACGGCACATAACAACCACCACCACTGAATGGTGGTATCTCTTTGGCAGTTCTAACGTACCAACATCTCTTAGAGAGAGATGGACAGTCTCCTCCCTTGTGATTTAGAACCTCAGAAACCTGCTAGAGAGTCAGCTATGTTGACATCAATGAGGTTTTAAAAGTTAAATTGATACAGAATCTCAGATATTCACTTAGTGTCAGAGAAATGACTCACAGGGTTGTGCAGGCTGTCAGGTCAGGCTTGTTCACTCAGTCACTGCAGATAGCTGCTTGCAGGGTGACTGAATCAGCCCAATCCATGAGTTTGCAGAGGCTGTTAAGTGACAAACTGCTGGCTGTAGGCAATGAGGTTTTTTAGCTGGATCAGGTCACATGCAGTGTCAGAACAAAAAAGAGTCAAACCTGCTGAGAATATTCTTCTGTATAATGTCTCAGAGCTATATGCACAGCCTCATTCTGAAGGGAGCTAAAGGTCATGCTTTAGAACTTAGTCATACTTGCTAGTGGAATGGAGATTTCAAGATACATCTCATCACAATCCTACTTCACTGATACAGGAGATAATTCACGCCAGAATGGGGTTGTAAGCGCAGAGAAAGAGGCAAGAGTTTATAACACATCACAAATAGAAAACTGTGACTAGCAGGGCCATATTACTTAATTCCCTGCATCACACTCATTATTGATTATTTGGTGAACTGACAACATTCTTGGCCCTTTCCTTTCATAGTTACTGAGGTTATAAACGGGCTCAGGCATTGTGGGATGTAACAAGAGATTGTGAGGATGGTACAGGATAGGGCAAGGTTCCCATCTGTTGTTCATATAGGGTCACTGTGATTCACGATTGACTCCACAGTACCTAAGAACAACAAAGGAATGGAGCTCTGGTGGCTTGGTCTATAGCAAGACACACTTCAAAACCACTCAGAAGAAGTATGGGCAGTCTCCTGTTGCAATTTACAGTCTCGAAAACCTGATAGAGGCTCTCTGCGAATTGGAACCCATTCATTGGCAGTAAGCATGAGTTCTTGAGAAGAGAGGAGTTTTGGAGGTGTGGTATGTTACTTACTGGGCTACTAATCAAGATCACTGATTCGAATCAGCCAACCACTTCAGGGGGGAAATGAGCCATTTCCTCCACAAGGATTTATATCATTGTCAGAAGTGACTAGATTAGCAGAATTGACCATGGGTCTGCAGAATCCCCTAGTTCTTAAATATCTTTTCCACCCATTATGATGTTTGTAATTCCATCGGTAGAGATTATTCATTAAATTTGTGAAGTATTGTTAAGCTCTAAAAAAAGTCTTCTACTAACCAAAAAGCTATGGGTCTATGATACTTCGAATCCACCCGTGACTTGATGGAGAAAAGATGGGCAGGCTCCTCCTCTTGAGATACACAACCTTAAAAGCTGGATGAAAGGTCGCTTTTGAGTTGGAATAAATTCAAAGGCAATAGTTTTCCCTTGAGTGTAAGTTTGAGGAGAAGAATTACTTGTACTAAGGCCTGTGGTTTGAATCCACCAGCTGCTGCTCAGAGATAGAAGGGTGAGTAACCTCTTCCCGTGTGATTTACTGCCTCTGAAAACCCGCTGGAAGGTCAGCTGTGAGTCGGTTGGCACCTACAAAAAGATGCAGTTCTACTGTTGTCCTATAGAGTTGTGATGAATCCGATTGGACTATGATTCATAAAGTAGTAAAGGAAGTGTTGTTTGAGTTGACTTGGTGGTTTTCCCACAGTGACTTAACCTCAGGGTATGATGCGTTAGAATAAAGAGTGAAGAAGCCAAAGATCTTTAAGACCAGGCTGTTTCTATCAAGTGTTTGTCATTCTACCTCAACCTGGCCCATTCATTTCTAAGACTTGATCCTTTGGACTAGTATTAACTTAAATCCGTTAACTATCTGCTTGCCCCCCCCAAAAAGTACCATAACTTTTATATTTTCATAATATTAGTACATTAATTTTTAAAAATTGTAAAAAAGCAAGTACTTAGAAATGATTGTTGAGAAGTAAATGGATGAAAAAATTAATTATACATGACAGGGACCTGCTTTATTTTGGTAAAGAACTAGACATTTACAGAATATCTGTGGCATATGATCTCTGTTGTAAAGACTCAATTTTGTTATAGCACAAAAACTACAATAGAGCCTGTTACTAGACATTGCTGTGTTTCAGTAAAACTTTATTTTTAAATATAGTAACAGGCTAGATTTGGACATAGGCTGTAGTTTAATAACTGATGATATAAAATACTCAATTGCTGTATGAGATTATTTAATTACTGTATAATACATTTTATTATATACATGTATATTTACAATTGTATACTTCATTATGTGCAGATAACGTATCTTGGGAAAGAGCTTTTAAAATATGTTTCTGAGGAAATGGCCATGCCTCCAGAACCAAGCATAGTCCCACAGCAGCTTCAATCTTACCTTCCAGGTATGTGAAAGCCAATACTAATTTCTTAATTATGCAGATAAAAACCACTCAGGCCGACTGACCAAATATTCCATTTCTTTTTCCCAATCAAGGTGAAATTTACATAACATTTACCATTTTAAAGTGAACAGTTCAGTGGCATATGTATACTATTGTACAACTACAACTACTTAGTTTCAAAAATATTTTCATCACTCAAAAGGAAACCTGAACCCTTCAAGCATAATTGCTCTTTATGTCCTCCTCCCCAGACTCTGCATTCTGTTTCTTTGGTTTTACCTGTTCTGGTTCTTCCAGAATGCAGACAATATGTATGTATTATATACATATAGAACATATACAGTTCTTCCAGAATGCATACAGTATGTGACTCTTTTGTGTCTACTTCTTTCACTTGGCATAATGTTTTTAGGATCAACTATGTTGTAGAATACATCAGTAATATCTATATCTCTATATGTTGTTGTTATTGTTGTTGATTGCCTTCGAGTTGAGCACGACTCATAGCGACCCATGAACAAAAGGCCTCAAGCCCCTCTACAACTATCAATATTTATCAAAATTCATAGTTTCTGGAGGCATGTTGTTTAGGAAGTGTGTGCCACTCCTGCTTCAGATTCCATACATTAGAATTCTTTTTTTTTTCAGTTGGTAAACTACAGCCTATGTCAAAATTTGGCTCATATTGGTGTTTTGCTGTTTTTTATTAAAAAAAGTTTTACTGTGACAGAGTATTGTCTGTTCATTTAGCATAGATGAGTTGAAACCTAGACCAAGAAGCTGTTGTGTGAACAGAGCAAGTGAACACTACATGGTTTAAAATTAAGAAATGTGTGCATCAGGGTTATATCTTTTCTCCATACCTATTTCATCTGTGTGCTGAGCAAATTATTTGAGAAGCTGGTCTTTGTGAAGAATAATGTGACATCAGAATTGGAGGAAAACTCATAAGCAACCTGTGCTATGTAGATGATACAGCCTTGTTTGCTGAAAGCAAAAAGGACCTGAAACACTTGATGCAAAAGATAAAGGCTACAGCTTTCACTATGGCTTCCATCTTCAGTATCAAGAAAACAGAAATCTTCACTACTGAATCAACAGGCAACATCATGATAGATGGAAAAAAGATGGAAGTTATCAAAGATTTCATTTTGCTTGGATCCATAATCAGCAACCATGGTAACAGCAGTCAATAAATAAAAAGATGTTTTGCATTGGTAAAATCTGCTGTTAGAGATCTCTCCAAAGTGCTTAAGAGCAAGAATTTAAAGACTAAAGTGCATCTGACCCAAGCCATGATATTTTCAGTTACTTCCTATGCATCTGAGTGCTGGACAGTGAATAAGGATGACAGAAGAAGAATTAATGGCTTTGAATTGTGATGTTAGAGAAGAGTATTAAATATTCATGGACTGAAAAAAAGGGACAAATGAGTCTGTCTTAGAGGAAGTGCAACCAGAGCTCTGTTAGAGGCAAGGATGTAAAAAAGAATCTCACAGTATTTTGAACACATAGGGAGGGGCCAGTCCTCAGAAAAAAACATCAAGCTAGGAAAAGTGGAGGGTCAGAGAAAGACAGGTAGATCCTCCTCGAGAAGATGGATTGAGACAATGACTATAATAATGGGTCGAGTCTATCAGAGATTAGGACGGTACAGGTATGGCAAAGTTCATAAGGTCGCTATGAGTGGTAGTGACTTGATGGCATTTAATAACAACATTTAGTGTCAGACCCTGTGCCGGACATCTCAGAGTGCCAAAGGACGATATAGTAATCTCATTTAGATGTTTTCTTTTGACTTTTTTGTTTTTATCTGTCCCAGCAGCATGGTTAATCATTAAGAGTCTTTCTAGAACTCTTAAGCGAGACAGAGGATCATACAGGCAATATAAAAGGCTGCTATGAAACAGGGCTTTTTTTTGCTGTAGTAATATCAGGCAAGATGCAGAGGTTCATGTTCATATTCCATCTGAAGAAATACAGGGAGGAAATTCTGCTGGTGTGGTCTGTAGGGAGTTGAGCTGCTAACCCTTTGTGGCAGTTTGAATAGCCAGCCGTGCCTTGAGAGAAAGATGGGCATCCTCCTCCTGGGTGGATAACAGCCTCACAAACCCAGTGGAGAATCATCTGTGAGTCAGCTCAGATTTGAGTTGGGGTTTGGGATTTTTTTTTAATATGTATAAAGAAATCAAAGATGCACAAACACTTTGGTTTTCCTTTTCAATTACTGTGAATGGATGCCACTATTTTTGGTTGACAGTAATAATTTCTGGAATGATTCTTATGTGAGCTACATGATTACCTAGTTATCTCATTTACTTTTTAACCCTGTTTTTTAAATAGAGAAAACAAATCAAAGTCTTAAATACTAGACAGAGGACTCAAACAGAGATCAGTTTGACTCTAAAGTTTGAAACACTACTCTGAAACATGATCCTCTTGAGATAAATATTCTGGAAAATAAGGAGGGACAAGAAGTCTGTTTAGCTTTGTTTTAAACAACATGTCTTAAACATGTTATATGATGATGTTGTTAAGTGCTGTTGTGTCATCTACTATTCATAACAACCATATGTACAACAGCTGTGAACCCTGCCCTGTTCCCCCCCCCCATCCTGAGCCAGTCTCACTGACTCCGACACATCCACTCCTCTTGCCCCAGTTACTGTATCAATCCATCTCACCCAGGGTCTTCCTCTCCTGTGCTGTCCCTCCACCCTTGCAAGCATGATGATAATATAGTAATATTTAATAAGGGACTTGATGCCTTTGAGCTGTGGTGCTGGAGAAGAGTATTGAGAGTACCGTGGACTGCTAGGAAAACAAAGATTCATCCTGAAAAGGGTTAAACCGGGAAGCTCCTTGGAGGGAAGGATTCTGAGGCTCCGTCTAACATACTTTGGACATGTTGTGAGGAGGGACCGGTCCTTGGAGAAGGACATCATGCTTGGGAGGGAAGGGAAGGCCCTCTTTGAGGTGGATTGATTCAGTGACTGGGGTAATCGGGATGGGTGTGTCAGAGACAGTGCGATTGGCACAGGACAGAGCAGAGTTTAGGGCTGTTGTACATAGGGTCGCTATGAGTCGCAGGCGACTCGATGGCACATAACAACAACAACAACAAGAAGTAACAGCAGTCTAATGACTAATTTGTTTCTATGTATCATTTTCATTACATGATACCAAGAAAACCCTGAGTCAGGCATATAAATAACAAATTTTAATCTTGCCATTTTAAGACTCTTCAGTGAATCAGAGATGGTGGAAGAGCTTTATTCTATTTTAAAACTTTAAATTGGTAACTCAAGTTAATGGATTCAAGAATGTTAAAATGTGGTAAAATAACACATTTGAAAGTACATATTGTCTCTAATTAAAGATTTTTAAAAACATACACACATAACATTTAAAATTAAATTCTATTAAGTTATTGCCTCTACCATCATGCAAATTATACCAACTTACAACAACTGTGTAGGTCAGAACAGAGTGTCCCATGGGGTTTCCAATTCCGTAAATCTTTACAGAAGCAGACTTCTTCATCTTTCTCCTGGTGGTGCTTGTGGATTCAAACTGCTAACCATTCTGTTAGCCCCCCAACACTTAATCAGCTGTATTACTAGGGCTCTTTCAAAACCCTTGAAGCATCCTTTATCTTTTTAAGCTTTTAAGGCTTTAGGACAGAGTAAGTTTAGGGTGCATTTTGTCTCTTGAAATTTCACAACTTCTTCCTAAGCCTATATTGTGTCCTTTTGTGTTTTTGAGGGAATCATCACTGATTTTAGCTTGTTAGTTTGTTTGTTATCAAGTGTATATCTAGGATGGGGAAAACAAACTTCTATAAAGCTCTAGTGCCCAAGTGGTAAGACGATATACTGCAATCCCAAAGGCACAAGGTTTGAATCCATCATTTGCTCTGTGGAAGAAGAATGTTTAATCTCCTGAGCGACTTACTGCCTCTGAAAACCTGCTGGAGGGTCAGCTAAAGGTTGGTTCTGACTCGACACACATAATAATAACAACGTAATTTGTCACCATTCTCTACAAGTGTATTAAAATTTTTCACAAAGTTTTGAAAAAAGAAATGGAAGGTGCTCTTTTTATTTAGACCATTATTTGTTATTTACCGAGCAAGCCAACTTTATATATTTTTGTCACTTGTCACCATAGTACCAAGACACTCAAAACACATTAGATTATTTATATTCCAAAAGGCAGCACGGAATGACAAAGCAAAATATTACAATGAAATGTGTGAGGAGCTATAGTCGGAAAATCAAAAGGGCCAAACTCGTTCAGCATTTCTTAAGCTCAAGGAACTGAAGAACAAATTCAAACCTTGAGTTGCTATAATCAAGGATGCTTTAG